GGTTTGAACCTGCCAGCCCCGATGTATGTGGCTGGTGCCCTAGCCACTGAGCTATAGGCCCTGAGTCTGCAGTTGTCATTGTTGTTTTAGCTGGCCTGGGCTGGGTTTGGACACGCCAACCTTGATGAATGTAGCCAGCACCCTACCACTGAGCTATGGGCGGTGTCCTATTTTATTTTATTTTATTTATTTATTTATTTTTGAGACAGAGTTTTGTTATGTCGCCCTCGGTAGAGTGCCATGGCATCACAGCTCATAGCAACCTCAAACTCTTGGGCTTAAGTGATCTTCTTGCCTCAGCCTTCCAAGTAGCTGGGACTACAGGCACCTGCCACAATGCCCAGGTATTTTTTGTTATAGTTGTCATTGTTGGTTAGCTGGCCTGGGCTGGGTTCGAACCCAACTTTGGTGTATGTGGCTGGCGCCATAACCTCTGTGCTACGGGCGCTGAGCCTTTATTTTATTTTTTTGAGATAGAGTCTCACTCTGTCACCCTGGGTAAAGTGCCATGTCATAGATCACAGCAATCTCAAACTCTTGGGCATAAACTATCCTCTTGTCTCAACCTCCCATATTGCTGGGACTATAGGCGCCTGCCACAGCACCCAGCTAGTTTTTCTATTTGTAGAGATGGGGTCATGCTCTTGCTCAGTCTGGTCTCAAACTCATGAGCTCAGGTGATCCACCTGCCTTGACCTCCCACAGTGCTAGAATTACCGGCATAAGCCATTGCTCCCTGGCCTTCTTTCAAAATTTAAACTAGTCTATGGAACTTGATGCATAGTTTGGGAGCCATGAGTGGAGGCCAGTGGTGATAAGATCAGGTGGTAAAACAAACAAACAAACAAACCAGGTGGTGGGTGATGTGGCTCAGTGAGTAGGGTGCTGGCCCCATATATCGAGGGTGGCGGGTTCGAACCCAGCCCCAGCCAAATGGCAACAACAACAACAAAAATATAGCTGGGCGTTATGGCGGGCGCCTGTAGTCCCAGTTACGCAGGAGGCTGAGGCAAGAGAATCACCTAAGCCCAAAAGCTGGAGGTTGCTGTGAGCTGTGACACAACAGTACTCTACTGAGGATGACAAAGTGAGACTATCTCTAAAAAAAAAAAAAACAGGTGGTGACATAACTAAGAGCTCAGTGCCTAGGGTAACCACCTGGCCTAGCCCCTTTAGCTGTGTGCCTTGGCACCTGCACTGTCAGAGATGTTGGGTACCATGAGGACCCAGAGGGAGGCCCATGTTTGTATCCCAGGTAGGCACTTACCATTGACGCACCTCATGGTCAGTTGCTTCTAGGCACAGACCCTGCTTCTGCTCTCTGGTGACATTTTTGAATCTCAATTTCCCCACCTGTGGAGGGTAATGCGGGCTGACTTAGGAAGCTTATGACGACTCCATGGTAGAATACTCCAAACTGCTCCTGCCCCCAGGGACTGCTACTATGACAACTCCACCACCTGCCCCAAGTGCACCCGGCTCAGCCTTCGGAAGCAGTCACTCTTCCAGGAGCCTGGCCCAGGTGTGGACGCCTAAGGCTGAGGGAGGACCCCAGTGCTCCACCTGGATGGCCTGCACCAACTCCACTGGCATTGCCAGAGTTGTTTGTCCTGCTCTAGAGACCCCTGGGGTGCAGCCCCTGGACCTCTCCACCCCTGTGGGTCTAGGGGTAGTGAGCAGGAATATCATCCCCCAGGTGTTTTGTGGGACTTGGGGTGGCCACACCTGGCTGTTACCTGGGGTGCTGCCATGATGGGTCCTCTTTCCCCACTGCAGGACTCTGTGGAGGAAGGGAGGACTAATTACCTTCCCCATGGCACAGAGCCCTCAACTCCCCTAGGCCAAGTTTTTTTGGCTCTGGAAATGCCATGGACCCTGTCCTAGTCACCCTGGAAACCTGTCATGTCTCCAGAGAGCTTTAGAGCAGAGGTCCCCAGGATCTAACGACTCCTTATGTATCTCAGCCCTGCCTGCAGAGGATGGTTTGTGTTCTGGCCTCTAGCCAGTCATCTCTGGGGGAGCCTTTTTGGTGGACCTGCCCCTGTCCTGCCCTCCTAAAGTTCTTCTGAGTCCTCCCTCTGCAGTCAGTCTAGCCGGGTTAACTTTTTTCTGTACAGCAGGGAGGGAAGGGGACCATGGCCCAGCCCACCTTATTCTGGTTCTTCGAACTGGAATTCTGGGGGCCCAGCCTGGGGAGGATGTTTCAGCCTCCAGGACTGGAGCAGGGACAGCACTCCAGGGTAGGTCCATGGTAGGAAACAGGGTAGGTTATAATTGGCCTGTGTGGCATTTCTTGGGACCAAATTTGCCTCTGAGGAGTGCCAACCTGCTGCTTCTGGAGGGCTCTGGTTGGCTTGGAGATGACCAGCTAGTGACCTCTGGTTTGTGGTCCTGAGGTCAAGAACTGTGAGTATTTGCTTGAGGGAGCCCGGGCATGAGCCTTAGAGCCCATCTAGAAAGATTAGGGAGTGGGTGTGGGAGGCTCCTCATCCATGTGACAAAGGACCCCTGACAACAGACAAGCCTTATAGCACTTCACAGTGGAGGGGCATATTGGACCTCTGTGTTTGCACTTTATAGATCCTGCAGTTGAGAGGGGCTGTAGGAGAAGATGTTTCAGGACACAGCTTCCTGATCTTCCACCCCTAGGAAGCAAGGGCTGCTTGCTCCTGCTTTCTTCCTCCTCTCCGCAGACTGTGGTGCATATGGTTGGAACATGTGGACAGAGGGTGGGTACAGTACCTGCTGGGATAACTGGGAAGCCCAAGAGGAGATGCCTCAGCCAGGAGAAAGGGCAGCCTGGCCCACTGGCCCACTGAGGGGTGGACAAACAGTACTGCCTCGTCTTTGCCCCTCCCTCTGTGCCATCAGGAAAGGGATGGTGATGTTTTCCTCCACATGTGGCTGTAGGCACAGCTCTGTCTGTCCTGTGTTGGCTTCCCTGTATGAGAGGTAGGGGTACTGTTGTGGACCTGCCTCAGGGTGGGATGGGGAGAAGTGCGCTGAACCTTGTAAAGAGGGAGCTGTGAATTCACGTCAACGGCAGATCCCTCTCCTGCTTTCTCTTCTTTGGGTAAAGGCCAAGTGCCCTTTTCCTACATCCTTAAATCTGCACATTTGTCACAACTGCATCACATGTCTGTCATAAATAGTGGCTATTCCTGAATCTCTTGTGTGATCAGCATAACACTCCAGTTACATGTCACTGCGTCCATAGAGCATGCAGAGACAAATGTTGGACAAAGGCTTGCACCCTTTTTAACCTCCCCAACACCTCTTCCTCACCTGCCCCTCTGGACGATAAAGTCTTTAAACAGAATCATGTATGGGTGTTTCTATAAGTCCACAGCACAGCAGAGAGAACCAGCAAGGGACTGGTTGGCACAGCCAGTTCTTACAGAAGAGCACATGGAAGGGTGGTGTTTTGCCTGGGACCAGCCTGGCCTGAGGGATGCCCAGTAGTAACAATGCTGCTATCACTGTTTCATTAAATTTGTGTCCTCTAGACTCTGGTGTGTGTGGTAAATTGGAGACAAAGCTGAAAGTTTTTTTTTTTCCTTAATGAGACAAAGAGTCACTATGTCACCTTTGGTGGAGTGCCGTAATGTCACAGCTCACAGCAACCTCAAACTCTTGGGCTTAAGTGATTCTCTTGCCTCAGCCTCCCAAGTACTTGGGACTACAGGTGCCCACCACAATGCCCAGCTACTTTTTGTTGCAGTTGTCATTGTTGGTTAGCTGGCCTGGGCTGGGTTCACACCCACCAGCCTCAGTGTATGTGGCCAGTGGAGCCGAGGTTGAACTAATTTTCATATTTTGAGGTCTTTTTTATTTATGAATTATGTCTTTTGCCCATTTTTCTATTGGATTTTGGTATGTTTTCTTTAAGAGTTCTTCACATATCAGGGATATTAGCCTATTATCTGTGAGATACATTGCAAATGTTTTCTTCCAGTTTGTGAATTGATTTTTGACTTTGTGGTGTTTTCTTTCCTATGTAGAGTTTTATTTATGTTTTTATATGGTCATGTTGATTAATATTTTCTTGTATTTCATCTGTAATTTGAGTCCTATAGTCCTTTTCTACACCCAGGTTAAAGAGGCATTGGCGTAAGTGCTTTTGCAGGACTGGCATGCTTTCATTTTTACATTTAGATTCCTAATCCCTTGGAGTTTATTCTTTTTTTTCAGACAGAGTCTCATTTTGTCACCCTCAGTAGAGTGCTGTGGCGTCATAGCTCACAGCAACCTCGAACTCCTGGGCTAAAGTGATCCTCTTGCCTCAGACACACCCCCTCCCCCCTCCACCGAGTAGATGGGACTACAGGTGCCTGCCACAACACTTGGCTACTTTTAGAGATGAGGTCTCACTCCGGCTTAGGCTGGTCTCAAACCTGTGAGCTCAGGCAATCCACCTGCCTCAATCTCCCAGAGTGCTAGGATTACAGGCGTGAGCCACTGTACCTGGCCTTGGAGTTTATTCTTATGCAGGCTGTGAAATATGGATCTAATTTTATGTTTTTTCTAGATTGTTAACCAGTTGTCCTGCACCATTAATAAAAAAGTCTATCTGCATCTACTACTGGACTTTTATTCTACTCCACAGGTCTATTTTATTCTGCTTCACAGATGTGACTACTACACTGTTTTAATCACAGAGGCTTTTATGGTATGTTTTAATGTCTAGTAGGGCCAGTCTCCCTTTTGCAAATTTTTATTATTTATTTATTTATTTATTTTGAGACAGAGCCTAAAGCTGTTTCTCTGGGTAGAGTACTGTGGCATCACAGCTCACAGCAACCTCTAACTCCTGGGCTTAAGTGATTCTCCCAAGTAGCTGGGACTACAGATGCCTGCCACAATGCCTGGCTATTTTTTGGTTGTAGTTATTGTTGTTTGGCAGGCCTGGGCTGGATTCAAACCTGCTAGCTCTGATGTATGTGGCTGGTTCCTTAGCTGCTTGAGCTACAGGCACTGAGCCTAAATTTTTATTTTTTTTAAAAGTATTTTCTTGGCTATTCTTTTCTTTTTTTTTTGAGACAGAGCCTCAAGCTGTCCCCCTGGGTAGAGTGCCGTAGCATCACAGCTCATAGCAACCTCCAACTCCTGGGCTCAAGCCAGT